CGGAGAATCATTGAAGGGATGAATGATTCTCAGCTGACAAAGATTGTAGCTCACCCCTATGAGCACTTCAGCAATATGGATGTGGCTGAGTTCTACCTCAACGCCTACATCGTCAACAACGCCATATTCTCCCGAGTTCAGGGCAAGGACCTGAAGATAGATGCTGCTGCCCTTAACGAGTTCTTCAACATTCAACTGGACTCTCAGGATGAGGACACCCCCAATCTCATTGAACTCGATGATGTGGACATCTCAGTCACCACATTTGTGCAGACCTACTGCCGGGATGATGCAACTGGATTAGATAGGCTGTACATGAAGAAGAACCAGCTCAAGAAGGACTATGAGCGACTAATGAGCATCATGCACAGGTGTTTGTGGTGCAAAACCGGTTCAACTGACCAGATGAATAATGCAAATGCCAAAGCTATCTATGCAGTTCATCGTGGCATGAATATCAACTGGGGTCAAGTTCTTTTCAAGTCTATTTCTGAATGCATTGAGAAGAAGGATGCTGAGACTGGGAAATTCTCTACTAAGATGGGCCATGGACTTCTCATCTCCAGACTCATCACTAACGCCCAGATTGAACTACGTGGATCTGCTCCAGCCAACCACATGAAGACAATCTTCCTCACTGCATCTCCTAAAATGCATGTGGCAATTGCTGCAGAACTAAAGAAAACTAGCAAGCATGAGCAGAACAGGGAGAAAGTGGTTGAAAAACCCAAAGCTGCCCCCAAGAAGATCACTACGAAGGCTGCAACTTCCTCTGAACAGCCTAAGGCAAAGCCTGTTCACACTCCAAAGAAGAAGATCACTCCAAGGTCTAAGATTGCCTCTTCTGAGAAGATTGCATCAGAGGAGGATGCTTCAGACAAGGAGGCATCAGACTTGGCTCCTAAGGTCTCACCTCTGAAAAAGCAAAAGAGGAGACGAAGAGCTATTATCAGAAGTGACTCTGATGAATCTTCCTCTCAAACTAGAGAAAAGAAGAAGAAGAAAGAAAGCTCTTCTCCTCAGAAGTCAGAAACTCAGGGGGAACCTGAGCCGGAATCTTTACCAGACTTGCCTCTGATGGACCTATCTACAGACCATCAAGCATCTCCAATCAAGGACACTACATCAGAATTTCATGCTGCTCTGGACAGACAGTTTGAGCGTGTGCTAGCTTGGAGAGAATGGAGAATGGGTCCCCTTCAGAAAATTCTTCAATTCTTCCCCTACTATGAAACTGAGGAAGCTGAAGTCCTCAAGTGGGTGGGAACGGATGATGTCTCCCAGTGCTTTGATATTACATTCCTAGAAGCTGTTCTAGAGAAGAAGAAAGCCATCTGCAAAGGCAAGGCTGTTCTGATATCCAGCTCACCAGAGGATCATGTTAAACCTCTAGCTGAGCATGAGATTCCGAGCTTTGATGACTGGTTGATGGAGAAGAAGAGACAAGAATCAATGATCAAGATGAAACCTATTCCTGGTGAAGAAGGTGAGCCATCTACTGTAAATAATCAAGCTCTGACAATGATAAATCTAATCAGAGAATGGAGAGCCTCACAGTCTACAGAAACAGTTATTGAGGTAATCCCTAACTCTCCTTCTCCCCCTCTTCAAATTACACCAGAGCCCCATATCTCACCTCCTAAATCTCCATCCCCCGAACCCACAACACCCTCTTACACTCCATCACCTTCACCTCAACCTCCATCACATTCACCCACTTCATCACCTCAGAAAACCCCATCTTCAACTCATCAAAAATCCCCCTCTCCTCACAGAACCCCAACCCCTTCACCCAAGAGGCCCTCACCTAAACAACCTTCACCCTGCAAATCCCTTACACCCATCAGAAACCGATCTCCTTCACCTCCTCCTGCTCCACAACATCTGAAATCCCCTAACTCTCAACAGACTTCTCCTCATCAGCAACCCAATCATCAGAACTCTCCACCAGCTCCTACACAGCAATCATCTTCTCCTGCAAAAATGCCAGTACAAACTCTTGTCACAGGTTCTGCTCCATTTCAACACTTCATGACAGACATAGAGCAGGCTGGGAACCAAATTGCCAAAGGAATGGAAAAGCTTCTGGATGCTGAGTATGAGACTGATGCTCATCTCACCAGAGTCAGTGAACATCTCACCAACGGCATCAATATGCTACTGAAACATGTAGGCATCATTGCCACAGCCTTTGAGGTTCACAAGGACAAAACTGCCGAGAATCTAGGAAACATTGCTAAGGAAGTGGATGGAATCAATGCTGTCCTCTTTCATCACACCAAGGCCATTGAAGAGCAGGACAAAGCGATCAAAGGCATCTCTGATTCCATTGATGATCTCCAATGGTCCTCTGATAAGCATGCTGAGCACCTCACAGATGTAGAGGAGATCTGCAAAACCTTGAAGGAATTTGACATCAAGCTGATTAATAGTGGAAAGGACAGAGATCACAAGCTGACTCTCCTTGAAGCCACTACTAAAGATATTCAGACTGCTATAGATAAACAGAAAGAAATTATTGAGGGTCTGGCATCTGTAACCGAGACTCTGCCAGGTGCTCTTGAGGTCATTAAGGAAAATCAAGCCACCGAATTCTCAAAGATTGAACTCCTCCTTGGTGATCTTGCTGATGCCAAAAAGGGGGAAGATAGAAATGAACAGACTAGAACTGCAGAAGGACCAAGCACCAGAGCTCTGACTCCCATCTCTGGTACCCCTGATCCTGCAATATACTTTGAGAGAGCCAGACAGAAGCAGATTGCTGCTGGTATTCAGAGACCAACTCCTCCAAGATCAAAGAAAGGGAAGAAGACAGCCTCCACTTTCACTCTTGCCCAGTGGCTCAACAGTGATCTGGCTAAACCTGATGCTGCTCAATTCAGAGAAATGAAGAAGCATATGACCCCTACACAACAAGAGAATCTAACCCTAGATAAAGACGGGCTGATAATCATTAATCATGGTGGCTCTATGCAAGAAGCAGAAGAATGGTGGCGAATGAAAGTGATCCCTGGCAAGGACCTTTCAGAAGCCATCAGAAATTATCTGGATTGCAAGCTTGAACCTGCTTGGTCAGGATATCAGAATCCCAGGAATCTTGCTACAATCAGAGCTAGGGTAAATGCTGATCTGAAGGAAATTGATGCAAAGGAAGCTCTACTAGAAGAGGAAGACTTCTAAACTCTATCCTCTTGTTGCTTTAAATATCTTTCATTAATAAGATAACCAGCTTGCCTCTATTTTGCATGGCAATTTCAAATTATTTCTCCATTGCACTCTGACTATTTATGCTCTGATATCTTGTGTTATTTCTTATTTTGTTGATTGTATCTTACTCTTACTATCTTCCTATGCCAAGTGCCCACCAAGATTCTAAATGAAAGTTTATTTTTAACTTATTTTCCTTCATGGTGGAATGCACTTCTCTGGAAATAGTTTAAGGGTTTTGGCATCATCAAAAAGGGGGAAATTGTAAGGAATAAATGTAATTAGATTTTGATGATGCTATAGGATTAGGAAGTTAGAGTACCCCCAATTAGATTTTATGTATTAGAATTTTTCAACTGTAAGTATTAGTGTAGTCGACGATCAGAGTTGCTCTGCTTTGGATCAGATCAGAAGTGCATCAGAACTGCTCGACCAGACTTGCTCTGCGAGAACTGCTCCATCAGAGTTCTCTTAGCAGAAGTCCATCAGAGTTGCACCACGAGAGCTGCTGATAAATTTGGACATCTGATAACTGATGAGAACTACAGATCAGAGGCACTCATCAGCGGATCTATCAGAGTCAGAGTTAGAGTTCAGTCAGAGATCAGAAAGCCATCAGAACTCAACTCATTAGAAAGCCATCAGAATCCAACACATCAGAAGAGCCTGATCAGAGTCCGACTAACACTTAGAAGATTTCAAGCAACATCCAACAACTATGAATCCAACGGGTAAAATCATCCAACGGCTAGAAGACTGTGCATGAAAGGAAAGCATTTAATGCACATTAAATGAGCCTGATACGCTGAAGGATTGATTGCAAATGATTGACCAAAGAATCCGGGAAGATATATTATAAAAATAGAAACCTTCCAAAACGGCGGTCAAGTCAACTGTACGCACATTTAATGCAGTTGTCTCCTCCTCCAACGGGCAGACAACCTCAGTATATAAGCTACACACCGAAGAACAGGAAAACAACTTCTCCAAGAACTCTTCGCAGAACTTTTGCTCAAATCATTAATCTGAACATACTTCTTGAGATTCAACCTTCATAACACTCTACAAGAAAAGTCCTACGTTGGGAAGATTCAAACTCCAAATCTTTCATCCCCAACAACGAGCAAAGTTCATCCTGTTCTTCAACACTTCAAGATCTTCATAACACATCAATTGTGACGAAGCTAGTTGGAGGAAAAACATTGTGTTTTTCAAAGGATCTTCTGCAAAGAAGGGCGTCCAAGTAACTGCAGTAGTGAAGTGGTGATACTTCCGGGAAGCTGAGTGAAAGGACCAGTCATCAGGAAGCAGGACTGCATCCCGGGTGACATCTAGGCTTGAAGAAGACGAGGAGTGCTTCTTAAGTGCTAGGGACTAAGCTTTGTAACCGATCTACTTCAAAGCTAGTGGAACAGTGGACTAGAGGAACGCGTTGTTCCTTGAACCACTATAAAAATATCCGGTGTCATTTACTTTACTGCAATTTACATTTCTGCACTTAGGATATTAACTGTTAACTCTAAGACTTGGAATCTGTGTTCAGCAGATCTTGTTTTCAGAGTTATCAGAAAGGCATTTGCCTTAGTGTTTCTGAGGCTACCCGGACAGATCAGAATCCGCTGCCAAGGCCAGTTCTGATATCAGAACCAGCCTTTCTCTGTCACCAGAATCAGACATTCTCTGATAAGTCATTTTGGACTTAGAGAAAATTTGAAAAACCAATCAGTCTATTCACCCCCCCCCCCTCTAGACTGATTACCATATTAAACGGGACCAACACTTGATCTTTCCTTTGAAGAGCAACTGATAAAGAGTTTGTGAGTCCCAAAATAAGCAACATCAATTGTAAATAGAAGACGAAATCAAAGGAATGAAAGTATTTTAAAAGACCGTTTGCTTGACATCTTTTTACACTATTAATGCCTTCAATTTCGACATATTCAAGGACCTCAACAACAGATGAAAACAATTCAACCAAATTCAAAAGTGTTCTATAATGAGAACCCCACCGCGTGTTTCCGGGTCTTTGAAGTGCAAGTTCCTGATTCAAACCTGTTCCCGTGCTAATTTCGCCACTGCTTATAGCTTGCTTCACTTTTTCTTGGTGGCTTTGTCGAATCATGTCTCTTCTTTTACAAGAAGCTCCAACCACATTCAATAATAGCGAAATCATATCAAAGAAATCTCCAACCTCGAAGTGTTTTTTTGAAACTGCCACAACAACTAGTTGTAGTTGATGAGCAAAACAATGAACATAATAAGCTGAGTTTTTTTCTTTCAAAATTAAAGTTCTGAGACCATTGAATTCACCCTGCATATTACTTGCACCATCGCAGCCCTGGCCTCTCACATTTTTCAAACTCAGCCCATATTCAGAAAAAACACAATTAATAGCAGATTTAAGAGATAAAGAAGATGTATCTATGACAAGAACAACACTAATAAAACTTTCTTTAACCAGGCCACATTTATCAACAAGCAAAGCAAACACATCATCACCAATATCTGCAATAATAGAACGCACCACTTCTTGTGCAAAACAATTGGCAATATCTTTTTGAATGCTTGGAGCAATAACTTGATTATTCCCTGGAGCGTTTTTTTAATACAACCTTACTAACCGCCTCATTCTGACTAGCGGTATACTTAAGCAATTCCAAAAAATTCCCTCTATTGTTAGAATCTTCAGACTCATCATGACCACGATAAGGGAGTCCTTGATGCAATAAAAATCTTGAAACATCAATAGAAGCATTCAAGCGAATACGGTACTCATTTTTCACAATTTCATTTTGTCTATCCATTGCAACTGCTATTGATTGATCTTGGTTCATCAAAGCATCGCACCTTTTAACTGCTATGTTGTGAAAACTACTTATTTCACCCACATGAGAACCTAATCTCTCAGTTTTGTTCCAACTTAAAAAGCCCTGACTTACAAATGCATCACTCCACCACGATTTTCAAAATAATCTCTAAACAAGTAACAACATAAACAAAAAGCTTTGTCATCTTGAATACTATACTCTAACCAGCTAGGATATTTATCAAACCATTTAGAATTAAACCGTCTCAAAGTATTCCCGATTTCCTTTTGTGGGAAGTCATGACCACGTGGTTGGCAAGGACCTTTAATCAGATATTTTCTTCGAATTTCATCCCTTTGATTAGGATGATATTCAGAAATTTTTCTTCTTTTTGCGGGGTCCGAAGGAAGGTCATCCAAATCGACTTCTTGAGACATTGGATTATGACATTGAGAAGTAATATTACACAAATTTACACTTGAACTTCCTGGTGTTGAGGAGGGTGTTGAGGAGGACGTTTTACTCAAAAATCTGCCCATAAAAGCTGATAAAAAAAATAAATTAATTTTTTTGGTAACTAATGTAGTCTTTATACATCTTATTATCTTATACAGTTATACCTTCTTTTAGCTATAAAAATATATTTTGCATAGTTACTTTACTGGTTATCTTAATTCTTTAATCCTAAAATACTTATTTTAGTAATACTTATTTTACCTACTTTAAAATACTTGGAAAATACTTATTTTAGTCCCATTTTGGAAAATACCTTCTTTTACCTATAAAATACTTATTATTAATTTTGACTAACATTTTAGTAAAGTTGGATAAATTTTATCAACGAATATTTATCATGTCTGATGTCTAAACAAGTAAACAACTAAATGACTAATTGACTAAACAAGTAAAGCATTACAAATTTACAACAGCTAAAAAGGTACAAAGGCAGAAAGCTCAATGATAAAATCTACTACCTCCGTCCCATTTTATGTGTCTTAGTTTGACTTGGCACGATTATTAATGAAGTGGTTGAAAAAGTAAAAGTTGTGGTTGAGGTTTGAGTAGAATAAAGTGAAATGATGTAGACCACATATTTCTTTCCAAAAAAGGAAAGAAGACACTTATTTTGGGACAACCAAAAAAGGAAAGTAGGACAGGTAAAATGGGATGGAAGGAGTATTATTCTACCCACTAGGCCATTGACTCATTAAGTTAAAACAACAAATAATTTATACAATATAACAATAATAGTATAATACGAAATTCAAATAATATATATTAGTCAATTTCAAATAGTTATTAGTTACTATTCAATAAGTTTAAAGAAAAACCTGCACTTTGTGAATTTGGAATCGGAGCTTTTGATTTTCTTGACCCCATTCTCGAGTTCTCGCTGCTTTTTTTCCTTTTGGTCTGCACTAAAGCCCTTAATCGTTTGCCGTCCAGCCTTCAGCGTCCATGGCGCCACTGCGCAAGCTAAGGAAATCAGGCAGACTCCGCTTGTCGACTCCAAGCTCCACTCCGCTTGACGCTCGTGACTCGTCGAGTACTTGTCTACTCGAATCGTAGACTCTGTTCTTCTAATGTTAGGGATTTCAGATTTGCCGATTAGGTTGTTGTCTGCTAGGGGAGTGCTGGGAATTGAAGTACGAATTGTTTAATTTGGGTATTGGATATTTGGATTATTTGGGTCTTTTGGGATTATTGATTGATTGGGCTAGGTATATGGGGGCTTTTTTATTTTTTAACTGGGGGCAAAAGTATTGGGCTGGGATATTTCTTACTAATTTATAAGAGGCTAGTAGAAGTTTGTTGGGGGCAGCTGCCCCCCTATGGCTGCTATACGTCCGCCCCCGCCAACACTCCCCTTCAACTTCCCCTTTCCTTGATAAAGTATCTACAACTTTATTTTCTGTCCCCTTCTTTTTTTTTAGCCCGGAAAGCGTTTTCTGTACCCTTCTTGTATTGTATCTCATAGTCCAACTCCAATAGCTTAGTGATCCACTTCTTTTGAAGTGGAGAGATAATCTTCTGATCCAATAGGTATTTTAGAGCTTGTTGGTCTGTTTTAATGATGAAATTATTACCCTGTAGGTAATTCCTCCATTTCTGCATAGCTAGGAGTACATCTAAAACTTCCTTCTCATAGATGGATAGCCCCAACTACTTAGGTCCCAATTCCTTACTTAAGAAGGCAATGGGCCTCCCTCTTGCATCAACACTGCCCCAATCCTACCCCACTAACATTTGTCTCCAGGATAAAGGGTTTGGAAAAATATGGTAGAATTAGGACTGAGGTAGTTGTCATTGCAACCTTAAGTTCTTTGAAAGCCTGGCCAGCCTAAAAATTCCACACAAAAATCCCTTTCTTTAGAAGTGAAGTCAAAGGGCTTGTTGATGATACCATACCCTCTGCCAAACTTTCTGTAAAATCATGTTAGCCCCAAAATTCCTCTCAGGTCCTTGAGGGTAGATGGTGTGGCCTAATCTACCATACTCTAATATTTTCTGGATTTATCGCTACACCATTCTCATCAATAATGTGTCAGATATAGGAAATAGATGTCTGCCCAAAAGTACACTTATTTTTCTTGGCACAAAGCTGATTAGACCTTAATGAACCTCTCTAAGATCCTCCATATGTTGGCTCCAACTAGAACTATAAACCAAAATGTCATAAAAAAACACCAAAACAATTTTCCATAATAATTCCCTGAATACCCGATTCATTAAGTACTAGAATGTTGCAGGGGCATTACAGAGACCAGAAGGCACTCACTAAGTAGTCATATATATGTGTTCAAGGGCCATTAATATCTGAAAGTACCCTGAGCGTAGATCAATCTAGAAGCTCATCAATAACAGGTATTGGATAGTCATGCTTAATAGTAAGACTTTTTAAGTATACATAGTTTACACACATCCTCCAACTCCCATCCTTTTTTTTTTGAACCAATAATACTAGAGATAAAAAAGGGCTCTTACTAGGTTGGATCTCACCAGACTGTAGTAACTGTGCTACTATCATCTCCACCTCAGCCTTTTGACTATGAGAGACTCTGTAAGGGTATTGCTGTATAGGTAGGCTTCCAGACTTAATCCATATTTGATGTTTAATGCCCCTATTTGATGGTAGGGACTGTGGTTTTGCAAAACACTCTCAAACTCCTTCAGTAGCTGATTCAATTCTATTAGGGCCTCAAAATCTGTTTTCTTTTCTGTGATCTAATAAAGCTCTTCAATAAGGCTAGACACTTCTTCATAGATCATTTTGTATAAGGTATGGCCACATATAATGGGGCATTTCTTTTCACACAATATTTCAACCCCAGTACCTTCATGAGTGACTGTGACACTCATCTTTTTACAATCAAATTGGACATGAGTAAGTTCTCTCAACCAATCTCCCCTTAAGATTAGTTCAAATTATGTGCCTTGAAGTACCCTGAAAGAATGGCTGAATGTATGTTTTTGTATAGTCCATTGGGAATTTGCTACTTGTGATGTGTTAATCAGTTTGTGCCCCCTGCAACAGTTATTTTTAATGGAGTAGCCTCATCCATCTTACAACCTAGCTTATGGGCTGTAACATTGCTTATGAAGCTAATTGAAGCCCCCCTGAATCAATTAGTATGTGTATAATATGTTTCTCTGCTCTTCCTTTAAGTGTCATAGTAGTGGGCCCTTTCTTGCAGGTGACAATATCTAAGGTTAGAAGTACCTCATCCATTACCTCTTCATGGACAGTACCATCTTCTCCCTTTTCCTGGTCTTCTGGTGTAATACCCAAGATTAATTTAAGAGGATTAATAGTACTACTCATACCAACAGAGGTGCATCTCCTTTTAAGGGAGCTCATCACCCAAGAACTCCAAAGTTAAGCGTGCTTGCACGAGAGTAGTGTTGGGATGGGTGACCCCCTGGGAAGTTTCTCATGGCGCGCATGAGTGAGGACAAAGTGCACGGTAAAGGCTTGTGGTGGTTTGTGAGGACAGTACTAGAGGTCTGGAGTAACTACCTCGGACCTTGCGGGGCCGGGGTGTTACAAATGGTATCAGTGCAACACTGCGACAGTGTGTTGATCCGTTGGATATCAGGCGGGCACTTAGCGGGGCAAGATTCAAGGGTTTGATTGAGATTGGTTTAAGGGCGCAACGAGGACGTTGCGAACCTAAGTGGGGGTGATTGTAATACCCGAGATTAATTTAAGAGGATTAATAGTACTACTCATACCAATAGAGGTGCATCTCCTTTTAAGGGAGCTCATCACCCAAGAACTCCAAAGTTAAGCGTGCTTGCACGGGAGTAGTCTTGGGATGGGTGACCCCCTGGGAAGTTTCTCAGGGCGCGCATGAGTGAGCACAAAGTGCGCGGTAAAGGCTTGTGGTGGTTTGTGAGGACAGTACTAGAGGTCTGGAGTAACTACCTTGGACCCTGCGCGGCCGGGGTGTTACATCTGGTCCTGGGTCATCATCATCCAGAAGGACATACACCTTCTCTACTTACACCTATGTCTAGGTGAAAACTTCTCATCGCAATTGAAACATATATAGTCCTTTTTCTCTCTTAGCTTCCATTTCAGTTTGAGTGAGGAACTTAAAAGGGGGTTGGGTTTGACCAAGATTTGCCCTTGTGTGAAGTGGAGTAGTGTAGGGGTTATCCATCTTCCTTACGCCTTGATTTGAACTATGCAATGGTCCCCCCATTTTAATCTTCTTGGATAATGAATCAATGGTCACTAACTGATTTTTAACCAGTTCAACAGTTGCATCCAGGGTGGTAGGTTTGAACATTTTGACAAAAGCCTCTAGTTCATCTGTGAGTCTAAAATACTACTCAATGAGTACCCCCTTGTGTATCATTTACATACAGGATCTTAGTTCTTCAATTTTTTCCATATATAATTCATAATCAGATCTCATCCACAACTTATTGAACTCCTCAATAACTTAGGTTGCCCTGAGCCCTTCAAATCTAGCAGAAACTACCCTCATAAATTTGTCCCACGTGAGTGTGTGATTTCTCTGTCTAGATGTTGAACCCATAAAAATGTCTTTCCTTCAAAATGCAAGGTAGCCAGTGTGACCCTTTGGCCCATTGCTATATGAGGCATCTGTTTGAAATACCCATTGCATTTTACTCTCTAGGATATTGAGTTTGTACCATCAAATTTTGGGAAATCCAGCTTGGGAAAAGGAATATGTGAATATATAGTAGTTACCTGTTGGTTCTAGGTTTTTAAACTTCTGATGAGATTTACCTATCTATAAATTATGCAGGTTGAGCTTGAATGGTGTTTCTCTCAATATCGAAACCCCTTCTATCATAGGATCCTTGTCATGATCACTTTTTGTTTTTTCATGAGGAGAGTTCGCCGAGCTGGCATCCACTCTCATCTCCATTTCTTCAAGTTTGTTTTTGTATTGTTTCCAGTTGTTTGATTATCTCATTCTGAATCTCCTGATTCCTCATTTTGACACTAGTAGAAAACTGGCTTATAGTGACACTTTGATAGTGACACTTTCTGAAATAATACCAATAGTAACACAAAAGTGTTGCTATTTTCTAACACAAATACATCAACATCATGTAGTGACACTTCACATTTTTACGGAGTATACAACTTAAGTTAGCGCACGCGTAATTGTAACACCCCCAAATTTCTCGCCCAAAAACATTGATATGATTGAAATAAAACTTTTATTTATTGATAAAGTCATTTGAAAAATACAGCGGAAGTCTAAATAGGGAAATGGGTGTTACCGCCACATCCGGTCATCTCTCAACCGGATGCACAGGCAACTAAAACAAAACAATAAAACTAAATAAATAAATGTTTATTTCAAGAATAAATTTAACTAAGGCAACTTCTAACTCGCTCTCAGGCGCGTGCAATCAACAATCAACATAATCACCATCACCTGCACAAATAAAGTGCAGAAACAAAACAAGGAAGAGGAAACAAAAATTAGCTTTAGAGCTAAGTAAGTACTACCCAACCCCGTAAAATAATCACGTTTGACTAAAATAGATTTTTATATAATATTATATAAAAATAACTCACTCCACCGAAATTCTTTTCTCTTTAATATTTCTCAAAATTCACTTCTTCTCTATCTTCTTAGTAATTTAGAAGGGCGGTGCTCAACCTTTCGGCTGAGCCCGGTGAACCGTGGTTACGGACGGCCACCCCGAACAATGCTGATACCACAACTGCTCTTGTGGAAACGAAACGACTACCTTAAGTGTGCACACCCCCTAAAAGGGATTCCAAGCCCTCCGAGTAGTAAGTCGTCACGAGTAATCGGGACTCAGTCTACCAACTACCCCTGAATAAGATATCTCTGAATGATTAGGGACCACTACTATAACTTCTTCTTAAAAGGGATCATAGATCCAAATGTCACTTCAAACTCAAACTGTACTTCTTTGTAGTAGCAGCCTTAATCACCCTCCACATTTATCCGGATGTGGAAAACCGACACCACGGATTTCTCCCGGGTGCTCACTTCTTATGAAAACGTAAATTTTATCTTGACTTTAGATATACTTCCAAAAATATTTCTCAATCTCTCTAAATAGTCTCAAAAATATTTAATACCCAAAAGTACTTCGTTTGCACTTCTCAAATACCATAGATCTAATATCACCTCAAAATCACATACACATAGTTCAAAATTCATACTTA